TCTCAGCTGTGAGTGTGATAATTAGCCCTTAAATATATATATATATTTTTTTTTGATCCTTTTTGCCTATCCAGTAGGCCATATTGCGCCCGGTAGGTATAGCGTGAAGCACCATTTCACCCCAGCCAGAGCCTCCCCCACCGTGCCCACAGCCGCTCTGCTGAGAAGCCGAACCGCGTCGAGACTCCGCACGACCTTGGGTTCTTTTTGCCCATCTCCTGAGTTTTCAGTGGTCCCTGCATATGCCTGCTCCATGGCTGCCAGGCGGTGGGTATGGGGTCCAAGCAGGGCACCTCGGAGCACCTCGCAGCTACACGGCCCTTTCGCAAGCTTCTCTCCCCACTTCTTCACTGGCCGCAGGCAAAGGCGCGCACACCGGTGCTCCACGCAGCACCGGCTGACAGCTGCCAGCGTGGATGCTCCTCCCCAGCTGGGATGCAGAAAGCTTTAACTCATGTTGAGCTGCTGGAAAGGCGTTAAAAAAACCCAAAACCAACCAACCACAACAACAAAAGCAAGAAACAAATGTAATGAGTTCTGGGTTTTGTTGGCTTTTTTTTTTTCCTCTGTTCAGAAATTACAGAGGGAGTAAAAAAAAAAAACCCCATGCAAAGTATCAACAGGTCAAGGATTAAAATACAGTTACAGAAAGAAGCTGAGCAAATTTGATCTAGCCCAAAGCTCATGTCAAATGCACCTAACAAAACCAGGACACTGAGTGCACAGCTGCTGCGTTGTCTTTATGTACACCTTCAATATATATATTAAAAAAATTAAATACAAAAATCTACCTTGGAATAATGCTAAGAGGGTGACAAGGGCAAGGGAGGAAAGACTGGCAGAATTCAGGAAAGTCAAAACTGTTGCTGGATTTGGTGGATGGTTTCCAGGGACGCTCGCACCGACCCTGGCTGAGCAGTCCACTCTGAGCCTTCTCAATATTAAGCACACACTTAAAGCCTGAGCAGGGTTTAAGCTGGTGCAGAAGGGTTTCACTGAGCAGAGTTGCTGTGCTGAACTGAGCTCCCAGACCCTGCTCCTGCTGTGGGATCTGGCCAGGTTTGAAAGCAGGACCAGCTTCCACACTTGGGGCCAGGAGGGAGAGATGGGAAAAAGCGAAACTTGATAAAAGTGCTAAGTAAGGTATAAATGGGGTCTGGGAGTTGATTTGGTCAGTGTCACAGCCTTAACGTTATTTCCATGATATCTTCTTTTGTACTTAATTCCCTTTACAAGAAAAGAAAAAAAAAAATCACAGAAGATTATTAAAAAATGTATATTATTTGCCCGTGAAACGGGAACAGTTCATAGCTCATCAAGTCTGGCAAGGAAATATGTTCTCACTCAGGTTTTGATTGGGTTTATTTTAAATTTTTTTAATTTTTTTTTTTTTTTAAAAAGTGTATTACGTACCCGATAAACTGGAACAGCTCTGAAAGGAGAAAGAACTGGTCCACTGGTTAAATATTCTTTTTTTTTTTTTGGTTAAAATAAAAAAAAGAGGTTTGTACAGACCCCATAGACCAGAAAACCCTCTGAAGTAGTAAAGAGCCTGCTGTCTGCTAGGGCAAATGTATCGAACACTGATATTTTTAAAAGCATGTTCAGGTGACAGAGAGGAACGGCTCCATCGCGTCTCTCTGTATTTGGTATCGTATCTATTGGCAGTAGAGGCCATTGCTCCGCGACGGATGGTCATAGTTAAAAGTTTGCTCTGGAAAAAGTTACTGTGCATGCATAACAAGCTGATTGCAAACATTAACCACTCAGCATCATAAATTTTTTCTTCCAAAACATCAAAAAAGGGCCCATCTGCACAATAAGGAGTACGTCCGCCACGTTCCTCTTAAATAAATAAATAAAATTTAAATAAGACAGAGTCACTTGTGAGTTACAGAGCCACAGGCGTGCAAACGAGCAGAACACCAACTACCCCAGCATCCCTAGAGCCCAACGAAGCCACACCAGACAGGACCGAGCAGGGGTGGGATGGAGAGCGCTTGTCCGCAACTGAAAAATTACGGAGGAAAAATGGTTGCAAGGCTGAGTTTACTTCCACTTTTAAAGGAGGGTGTTTACAGAGGGCTTCCAAACCCCAGGAAGGAGGCGCTCCTGGGCACAGGCAAGACTTTGCCGGGGCGATGTGGGGGCATTGCAGAGCGGCCGTGCGCATGGGAGCGGGCACGGGGTGGAAGGATTAAAGCAAGCAGAAGGCCGGCTCGTCCAGCGAGAGACACCACTCCTGGCACTGGGTCTACATTCGACACATTCCTATGTTCTTGCAGTTAAATCTTTGAAGAAGAACCTTTTTTTGTCCCTTTTTAGAAAAGTGCTTTGATGGGTTCTGCAGGAGGGAGGGATGCTCAAGATTCATTTTCTCCTTGGAGTGACAATTTCTCTCACTGTGAGCAAACCTCCCCCTCCTCAAGGAAGTGCTACTTTCATTTACAGGTTCAGGGTAAACACGTTTTTGAAATGTAAAGCAGTCTCAACTGTTTAAAGCACAACCGTAGGCAATCAGAGGGATGCGAGAAAAAAAAACCAAGCACTTTGAGAGAATTAAATAAAGCATGTAATAAATACGAATCATAAACTTCTGTACACAGGAGCAAGGGTTCGGGGTTTTTTTAATCATTTAATCAATATAAAAAAGTTTTTCTGTTTTGTTTTTGTTTTCAGTGCATCTTCTTCCTCTTAAAATGCTTAACCCTTTCCTTTCTGCATCTCTCAGGCCCATAACAACACACCTAAATGGCAAAAAAGACAAGGTCTAACAAACCCCTTTCCAAAAAACTCTAAAAAAATATTCACAGCCTCAAACATTTTTGTACATTTCAAGCAACAAAAGGTATAGAAAAAGGCACAAGTAACTGCATACATGTGGAGATAATACCAGACTGGGACAAAGAAAACCAGGAATCTTCCATGGGTTTGGTCATTCACTAGAGTGCTTCTTATAGCGATGATTATACTAAAGAAAATAGTGTTGAAAATGTCTGTTGATTTTACATAGGAAGCCTAAAGGTGGAACAGATGGAGGCTTAAGTACTTCCCGTGTTTTCGTCCACCTTGTTTTGAGTTTGACCTAAATCTGCATGCTCTAGGTGTGGACTGCTCTTCCTGGAGGTTCCCCCTTGGCGACTCGGCTCTCCGGAGAGGTTTCTCCTCCGGCTGGAGAATGACTGGGCGTGCGAATGGCTGGATGAGGGCTCTGAGAGGCAGCCGGTGCTGCTGCTTCGGTCCAGCGGCTGGGAGGGGAGGTCTGAGATGAAAGTGCAGGATGATTCAAAAGAAGTGCTCGAGCTGCCAGATTGCTTCTTGCCCGTTTTTTTCAAGGGTTCTTCCCCGCTTGTCGAAGGCTTTGGAGAGTGCTTGTCAGTTGTGCTGGGGCTGGCTGGGGATGCCGAGCAGCCTGCCTGCTCCACGTGGCTAGACTCAGCAAACATTTTTACCCTGTATTCCTCCTGCTCTGTCTTTTGCTGAAGCTCACTAGTCCTCATTTTCTCTTCTAAGTAACTACTGCTCATAATCTCTGGGGACAGCGTGTATTTAGAAACCTTTGCAACCGGGGAGACCGATGCCGATGATGGCTCCCGCGGGACCTGTGGTTCCTCGTCCCTCTCGGGAGCCCGGCTGAACTCCGCGAAGCCACTGCTGCCAGAAGCAAAGTATCCTGCTTGCAGGGACACAACTGAGCTGGGCACCAAGCTGGGATGGGTGCTCGGCCTCGCCTGGACCATCTGGATGCCCCCAATGGGAATCATAGGATACGGAGTCCTCGTGAGCTGCTGTGAATGTAACGGTAGATGGCTGAAGACATTCTCCTCCCCTCGGCTGGGAGTGTGGACATGCATTTCATGAGGTGCCTGCAAGGGTCTGGAGCAGACAGGCTGTGTGACGCCAGGTGAGCATGTTGGGCTCCGTGGTTCTATCTTCTGTGCCGCAGAGGGAAAAGAAAGAGCTGAATCAGTGCAATGTGAAGTTATGGCATTAGCATCATTAATGCTCACTCTAAGGATTGGTTTTGTAAACATTTTATTCTAAGTTGGAGGAGACCAATCAACAAAGGAGGATTTGGACCCCCAAACCTTTCAGGTAAGGAGCAACACAACCCACAGTGTTTGCCTTCAGGGAACAAATATGCCCATGGTCTGTTGAGGCACAAATCCAGGGGTGTGGTTCAGGAGATCATTATAAGATCATAGAATGGTTTGAGTTGGAAGGGACCTTTAAAGATCACTTCGTCCAACCCCCCTGCAGTGAGCAGGGACATCTGCAACTAGATCAGGTTGCTCAGAGCCCCATCCAACCTGACCTTGAATGTTTCCAGAGATGGGGGATCTACCTCCTCTCTGAGCAACCCGTTCCAGTGTTTCACCACCCTCATCGTAAAAAATTTCCTCCTTATATCTAGTCTGAATCTACCCTCTTTTAGTTTAAAACCATTACCCCTTGTCCTATTATCAGAGTTGCCAGTGTTTCCTGACATCCTCTTTGGATTCCTTTCAGTACATGGGGCTTCTGAGAGCCCAGACTATTTTATTTATTTTTACTGGGCTTTCTTAAAGCAGGATTACCTCCTTACAGCTGCTAATTGCAAGGGTGTTTTGGACTGAGCGAGAGATAGCATTAACTCTCATTTGACACAAAGCACACCCATCAGTGTGGTCCCCACCACCACCCTCATGGTGTGGTCTGCATAAATCAAGGGTTAAGACCCTACCATTTTACCTTTTCCTCTTTCTCTCTCGGTGCTTCACATAGTTTCCTAATGTACATCATGGAGAGATATGTGGCTAAACAGAAATGGATTAATTAGTGATGAGGTTATAACTAAACACCTAAGCAGGACTCCTAAGAAGAGGAAGCAAGAGAAACTGAAATCAACTTTCCATTAAGATGGGGTGAGCTATAAAATTTGAGGATTCAGTGGAGGGCATAGTTTTTTGTAGGATTATGGGGAATTGCCAGACCCCGAAAGCTGGATCTCTATGAAGAGGCAACCAAGGAAAGCAGCAAAAAGACAGCAGAAGAGACAGAGGCACTGAAGATAGTGTTTACTTGGTCAGCAACTAAAAGTGCAAACACTTGCTAAATCTCACTTAGCCACATGAAGTCTCGGCAGAATTACTATAAGGATGCTGGGAAAATGATCTCAGTTGTGCAACAGGCACCAGAAGGAGAGACTACCTCCTGCAAGCAAGAGCCAGTGGGAAGAGAGATGGTCACGGCCAGGCATGATGCACAGACTTGGCTGAAAGCCTTACACTGAAGCTAAGCTAAGATCATCTCCAAATTTCTAAGCAATGCATAGGGCACGAGTTTTGAGCACAGAGCTCCATTTGGAATCTGATAAATCCACCTCTGATCTTTCTGTCTCTTGTAGCCTTATCATGAAGAAGTATAATTTTGCAACAAAAGCCCACCTGTCCATCTCACTCGTAAATGTCACATTCTTTATTGTTATTTTGCAGGCACATGAGAAAAGCCACAGTGGTGACTTCGGGTGCATAAGAGAAGCAGGAAAATGGAGCAAAAAGTTATGCATGTGAGAGTGTAAGTTAAAGAGTGTGAATGGGCAGATAAGCAGGGGTGTATGATATTGTCTCCTACTGTGGACTACGGCACTTAGGGCATTTGCTACAGGTAGTAGCAGTGGGCAGTTTTCCTGACAGATGCTGTAGAGTTGAAGGACTGGGGTTTCCACAGCTCTGAGATTCACCACAATAAGTTAATTGACAGGAAAGGGAAATAGCATGAAAGTAAGCAAAAGTTTGGACCTAAACCAAAGGATAGTCTCTGAGGAAGTAAGACAAACACTCAGAATGGAAAGCAGAAGGAAGGCAGCACCAAAAGATGGTTATCATAGACATGAAGAAACGCACACTGGGTAGCGTGGCTTTTCTGGAGAGGACCTGGGTCAGCATCTGCCATGACAGGTTCTCCAGGGGTTGTATAAAGGCCTCTCTCTTCCCAGTGCAGTCCCTAAGGGCTCGAGTCTCTCCTCACACCAGTTTCACTGCAGAGCAACTCCAGCAACCGAACCTCATGTTCATCCGCATAAATTACAGGAGAGCCAGGCGCTTCAGTAGAAATGGGAAACATTCCACCAAACCCGACGTCTAATTTGCCTGTAGCAGTCGGAGGAACATGCAATTTTCCTTTACCCATAGGATTTGATATGTTCAGCAGAGAGATTAAGTAATTTTCTGGACTCAGTGGGAAACACTTCTCTGTGCTGAAGACAGAGGCGAGATGAAATCAGAGGTGTCCAAACAAACATTTCTCAGCAGTTAATCTAACAGAGTTGGCTGCATATGTACATATCCCAGGAGTCAGCAACAGAGTGTAAATGGGGACTTAAGATCTGGTTCAGGTCACTGACAATAAGGTCACAGCTTCACCTCAGCTGGTGAAATCTCAGAAATGGGTACAAAATTCCCAGGGAAAAAAAGCCTCTTAGTAACAACTACTCCTTATTAAGTGGTCATCCTTACTGCTTGTCTCAGCAGGAGACTAGTTGGGTCAAGAGTGTAAATAACCCCTTGGAGAAGGGACAGCTTTATTTCTCTTCAAGTGACCAAAATTTGGGTAGGACCAAAATGGGTGCAAAACCCATTGCGGTCCACTCTCACTTTTCTCTGGGTTATCTGTGATACTGGCCACAGTCAGGGTTACTGTGCTTCTGCATTGCAACCTTCACTAAAAAACATGTCAGAGAATGTACTGCAGGGACTAGAAGGCAAGAGAGGCTTGAACTTACCAGCTTGGACTCGTATAGCTGTACATTTTTGCCAAAGAACCTGTGAGGTAGAGGCATCGAAGATAATATCCCATGCTGGGCTTGATATGAGCTTTGAACTTTGTCATCTGCTGCTGATTTGCTAGTACCAGGCAAGTCCTCTTTCCCAGGGGATGGATACCTAGGCAACTCTGAACAGCCTGGAGACAAGACTTTCTTCAGCGATAAGTATCTGACTGATGACACCTCTCTGCTCGGTGATGAGTGCCTCACAGGGGAGACTTCTCCTTCTGGTGGAACATACGTTCTTGGGGACAGCTCTCTTCTGGGGGAGAGATGCCTGCTGGGTGACAGCTCGAGTCTTGGTGACACACATCTCAGTGGAGATGCCTCCCTCCTGGGAGAGACGCGCTGGCAATGAGACAACCCTCTCCCTGGAGACAGGCACCTTAGAGAAGACAGTTCTCCTGTTGGTGAAAAACGTTTCGGTGAAGTTTCATTTTTGGTTAATAGATGCTTTCTTGTTAGTATTGGTCTGCTGCTGCCACCATCTCTGCCAGACTCCTGGCTTGGAGACCACCTTTTTCTTGGGGACGTGTCTTTTGAGGTTGACAGGTCCATAACTAAGGACATCTGTGGCCTTGTGACAGATTCTCTCTCAGCAGAAGCCAACTGTTCGGTGGAGGTCAAAGCTGGTCTGTGGAGACTCAAGAAGCTGTGGCACACAGCAATGTCACTGCTGTCTGCTGACCACTTTGTTTCCAGCCCTGAGGAGGAGGCCTGCTGGCCTTCACCTACTTTTTGGCTTCTGGAAACAGTTTCTTGGGGTAAGGACAATGCTATTTCAGTGCCTTCCTCTTGAGAAGATGGAGAGCCACCTGAAGAGTGCCTTGGGAGGGTGGTATGCTTGCCTTCTGGCAATTTTAAAGGTCGTTCATCTTGGCTCTCCTCTTCTTCCTCATCTTCCTCATCTTCATTGTCATCATCATCATCAGATTCCTCTAGGTCTGAAAACTGGTGTTCCTCAATTGGCTCAGATCCCTCCCGCCCTTCAGAGTCCTGGAATAGGTCTTCACTTGTTCCTGAAGGGATAGGCAAACACAAAACAGAGAGTGTAAAACACACATAAAGGGGCTGGGTTTGTGCTAAATCTGCTGAAAACTTCTACGGGGAGAAGAGAGGACCCAGCTATTTCCTAGATCTGATCATCTCATGCTTTGAAGCCTGCAATCTAGCCCTCTGTGCCAACTCCACTCCTGATGATCCCAGTGAACCCCACTGGGACCTCCTGCTCTACCCTAATTCTGGTTCCTGCCATTGCTTTGTCAACACAAGCAGCCATTAGTACCTGCTTCTGATGTACACCTTCACACACCTTGCCTGCCTTTGTCTAGAAATACAAAAAAGGCTCTTAACAGACAAGGAGAACAGCAGCACCATCATCCTTTGGTGGGCTTTTTATGACTATTTGTTGCAATGCTGCCTACAAAATATCTACAGCAGCCAAAGTTCCTGGGATGACTGCTCCCGTCCTCCACACTGGGCCTTTTCTGGTCCAGATTATGTCACAGTTAAACATTAGTGAGAGTGGACTTTTTTAAAAAAGTAAACAATAGGCTTAAAAGAATCTCTGTGGATTTTCCCTTATTTTGATAAATTCTGTTTATGATGCAGACACTTCGTTGTGGCAGAGTCTTCTGCTGTCTATCTGTGGAAGGCCTTGCACACGGATGCTTTGTTATTCCAAGCGTGTGAGGACTATACAGAAAGCAGATTCTAAAGGATTAAAATATGTCTGTAGGTTATACAGCATCTCTCTTCAACTTTAAGAGCCCGCAGCAGCTTCCTGAGATCAGCACCAACCTCTCACTTGGTACTGAGCCGCTGCCCTGCTCTGCCCTGAGCAGGACCCCGTTCCCGCTGCCAGATGTGCAGCGGTGCTGGCCGCCACGCAAGCTCAGCCTGCTGAGGCCCATCGGGAGCAGCCACTGGATGTCACTGCAGCTCAACACAACTGCAGGAGGCTTTCCTCAAGCCCCACTGCTCTGGAGAGGCTAATAAAATACCCGTTTCTCAACCTCTTGTTTGCGCCAAGCCCCAAGACGATGGGTGCAGAGCTGCTGGAGTGCGCCTGGTCCCCGTCTTTGGAAGGAGAGCGCCTGGATGCTGCTCTGACACCTGCGTGAAACTGGGTAATGAACTGCGGCGCTGCTGGCCTCTTTTCCCCACCAGTTCAGCCTAGGACACTGTTTCTCCTCTGATGAACACTGGAACGGTTTTTCCATTTAGAGCTGCCATCTGTCAGCAGGACGAGCCAGAGGGGAAATGACACGGAGCTAACGAGGAGGTTGGACCACACCTGCCTGCAGCAGGCAGGGTGGCTTTCAGAAGGGGACGTGGCCACACAGTGAGAAGTCACTGTGATCTACAGAGAAAAAGACTAATTTTGTTTACTTTGAATAACAGGGCCTTACTAGTAAATGCTCATGAAGTTTGTAGCATTACCAGTGAAATAAGACATGCATTTTACCACGGCTGATTACTTACCCGAGTCAGCCTGAAACGCACCTCCTTGCTCCCCACCCCGTTTCAAAGTATCTGGTCACCAGCCCACATAGAGACCTACCGCAGAACTCGTACGGCAGCGAGTCTCAGTCAGCAGCTCCCGACCGAGGGGCTGACTTGCACCGTGAAATGCTAGTGTAATGACGGTGTCTGCTGGACCCAGGATCCAGTGGCGGGTTGTTTGCAAACTCCCAAAGGAACTGAGTTCAGAGCAAGTATTATTCCAAATGACCAGTTCTCTCAGCTGTAGGGTGAACTGTGCATATTTCTTGCTTGGAAAAGGAATGCATTTCACTAACAGAGCTATGACCTAGTCCCTGTCTCTGGTTTTGGGGTTTGACATCTATGGGTTTCGGGATGCACAGGCAGCTGTAGTCTCCCTGGTATAGTTCTGAGAGTCTTGTCCTCTGTGGTCACCTCTGCTGGCCCCAGTCACACAACAGACAGGCACTGGCCAGGACAAAGAGGAAGGTCAGAAGGACAGCATGAGGGAAATGTGAAGCCAGTTCTGCACTGGGGAGTTGTTTGCATTTGCCACCAAGGGAAACACTTCAGTGAGTCCTGGGACAGCCCAAAGGGAATTTGCTTTGGCCTCCTAACATGCTTCTTGCAGCCAGAAAGAGAGCTGCGGCCTGCGCCCTGGCCTCTTGCAATCGAAACGCATTTTGCTGAGCTAATAGGCAGAGAAAGGGCAAGTAAGGAGAAGACAGAGAGGGAGGGAAAAAGGGAGGATGGAAGGGGAGAGGGAGCTAGTGAAAATGTGCCCTGCCGATGGCTTTGTCTGAGGGTTGCATCTCACTGCATGTGTGTTATCCCAAGGCTATTCTACCACACCAATGCAATCACACCAAGGAAAACCAATGCAGGAGAGAAGAATTATACTCCAATCTCCTTTTATAGTAACACCCCTTACTTTCTCCTGCCCCTTAAATAGAAATAAAAACAATCAAGTGAAATATAACTCTGGTTTAAAATAATCCAAGGAGTTTTAGGAACTGCTGCTCCCTCCCTGCCTGCCCCCAAAGGAAAGCATGACAATCCTCTTGCACTGGTTTATGCCACATGGAAATAGCCGCCTCTTTTTTTTTTTTTTTTTTTTAATTAAACTAGTCCTTGCTAGGCTCTGTTCTGAGCCTATTTGCAAAGAAGAGAGAAGACACTCTGTGGTTCCACAGGATAAGGCTCTTTGTAATCCACTACTCTGAGAAGAGGGGATGCATGATACAGATGTGATCTCTGATTTCTCATGCACCTTTCTGCCATTTTTACATTATTTTCTCATTCATCTCAATAGCTCCAACCACTACAGTACAAAATACAATTTTCTGACTGTCTTCTTGGCTGCTTTATTTAGTATTTACTTGGCATTTGTGAGCAATGGGTGTCCTTAGTCATGAGGCAGGATATTTGAAATTTCAGCAGAAGTCCAGTGTTAGCTTTAACCAGGTGAAACAGAAGCTGGAAGAAAAGAAAGGAAATGTCCTCCAGTACCACGCCTTCCCATTTTCATCTTTCTGCATTCTTTCCTGGCACACCATCCTCTTTACACAAACACGAACGGTCTTCATCAATGGGAGGAAATGGGGACTGTATATTTGTTGTAATTCTAAAATTACATGGATTGCCTGCATAATGCAATACAGTACAGACAGTGCAACACATTCCAGTGAGCCGCCGTGCAGCCAACAGCAACAACGGGAGAGGAGTCCCTTCCGAAAGCTAAGGGGTTCCTGTCTTCTGCAGTAGGTAGGACCCTTCCTTGCTGGGCTTAGCAGGTGTCCAACCACCATGCGTTCAGCCACAAGCAGTCAGGAACCAATGATTAATGATGGCAAGAAAAATGGTCCCCCAGCTGGTGATCGCTCAGCCCTCTCCCAGCTGACCTGGGGATGCAAGGCAGACCTTCCTCGGGCTTTTGTTTAGACCTGGTCCTTCCATAAGGCCAACGGTGGAGACCAGCTCAGCCTCACCACGTGCCAGACCTCTGTTTTCGCAAGCAGAGTGTTCCTGTCACCTTACAGCCTGGACAGGCTTTCACACCACACTGCTGAGCGCACGACTATCAACCCTGTATGATGACTGACTGAAGGAAATCATGAATGAAAGCGTTCCCCTGGACTGGTGAAGCAAGCCCTTGTTATTCTGTCCTCAGAAGCCTGCAATTACATGTAATATAAATAGGACTTCTGATTTGCAGGTTTTCAAAAGTGACAATCAATTAATATGATTCATTAGTTCTAATTGACTATAATGGAAAGGTTTAAAATAATATTTGTTCTTTCCAAAGTCATGCAACCAGTCTTTCCCTATCTAGCTTTTATCTGCAGAAGCATCTCAGACAGGTGGCATAACAGCAGGAAGAGATTTTTGGAGACCGTCAGCTAATCAATTATTTTAAGTGAGTTCCTGGGCTGAAGGAGCTCTCCAGCAATCCCACACGGGAGCAGCCTCCCACTGCTCACACCACACCAACACTTTCCCCCTGGGGCAGCTAAAGCAAAATCCCTGACTAGGTTTTCTTTTGGCCATGCCCTCCTTTGGAAAGGCCACGGCCAAGTACAGCATGTCTCTGCCTGATGGAAAGGTTGCTCTGAAGAGCTGGAGAAAAGCCAGGAGTTCAAGCCAATTTAAAAGGAAGAAATCCATCCCTTGAGGCAGAGTGGACACTGTCAGCCAGGTCAGGTATCCTTGGTCCTGGTTAGATGCTTACTTTGCGTGGCCTGGGAAAGTCCTTTGTCTACCCTTGCGCGTGGCAGGCAAGGTGCTGTGAAAGGGGGCATGGGTGTCTGCTAATGCCGTAGGACTTTTTTTCTCCCATGTCCTCATCCCCTGATTGACCAGGTGAGTACTCCTGGCCTGAACCAGAACCCAAGCCTGAAAGGGCATGGTGCCACTGCCCTGGGGGATCACTGGGGTCTGGGACTGGTTAACCAGTGGGACTTCTGAGACATCTCCTACAGGTTCTCTGTTGGCAAGCTGAGCCATGGTCTGTTCAGGTCAAGGACAGTCACATCAGCCCTCCAAGCCACGTCTGCCCCAGGACAGTGACAGAAGCCCTGCGGCCACACCAGACTTCTCTGCATCTGCACCTCTGTGCCTCCAAAACAGAGTGGCCACATCCAACCTCCTCTGCAGAAATGGTCTCAGGGCCATGCAAACACCCAAACTGTGCTCAGCAGTTTTTGGAAGTGTGATAGATGGCCTGAACCACAGTTGTTGATTGCTCCTGCAGTTTGAGACCATGGCATGCCAGTGCCTGCAAATCTCCCCAGCACAGCTTAATTAACCAGGGCAGAGATACCCCAAGGATACAGCACACTGCGGGGGACAGCATTTCTAAGCTTTGATATCCAAAACTGAGACTTAAAGCACTTCAGAGTGGCCAGGGCTGCCCTGCGGGCACAGCCTCCCCAGCCCTGCGAGACACCTGCACCCCAAGCTCCCTCTGTGGCACACAGGGCTGCAGCCGAGCAAACCCCCTTGCCACCATGGGCTACGCAGGGGAATGCGCTTAGAGATCTTTAATTACCTATGAAGCAGGAAGCATGTGACACTGCCCATGTCCCGGGAACCAGACCCTTTCCCAATAAAGCCTCTGATGGACTTGACCTCAGCAGGGGACCGGGGTGATAAGCGCTGTTTGTTGTTCCTGCCGAGTTAACATTCTCTGGCTCACACTGCTGTCTCCAGAACTTGCTCAGCTGATGTTCACTTTATAAAAATAACTGTGGCGCCATGTGTTTTATGAAGTTCATTTTAACCCATTGTCAACAAACCCGTGTGGGCTGTGGCAGAATGAACCCTGGGGATGAGGGAATCAAAATGGTTTGGGGTGAGAAAGAGGGGTGAAACAGGAAATGGGAAAAAAGTGCTAAACACAGCCCTAAGAGCTGCTTTCATACTGGGATTTCTGGGGTGGCAGCCAGGAGGGGTCAGTGGTGCCATGACCAGCCTGCAATGCAATTTAAACAGAAACCACCACTCTGCTCTGTGACACTAAGTGTTTTATTCAGGAATAAACACACTGACAGAAACAGACCTGAGGTCCCAGAGCCTCTCCTCCCTCTCTGGCTGGTATGTGCAGTGTTTCCTATGAATGCTAATGATCCACTGAACGCAAATGCAGATGACCCAAAATTTCATGAGGACCTGAGATCTGCCACCCCTAAGGCTTCTTCCCCTTCATTCCTCTGCTGCAGCTCCTGATCTGAATACTCAGGGTCTTGCTAAAGGAAACAGAATAACAATCGTAAAAACATCTAACTGTTCCCTGGAGGTACATAACCTAACCCTTCACAGCTGTCGGAGCACAGCCTCCAATAATTTGGGTAAAATATCTTTTTCTAGCTCAAACAGCTAAGTACACATGAGAATTCCCCATGTTCCTTCATCTCCTGGCTTGGAGATCTTCCTCACCTTTCCCTCAACATTTCTGATGGAGGCAAGAGTGCTTATTGTCACCACAGTTCTGCTTATTGTCACCAACATCCTTCTCTGGAGCCCCTTTCAGGAGGAAGGTACCCCCTGAATCATTAATACTCCTGTACTGCAGGACTACATGCCCTCTGCAAGAACATCACCAACAGCCTGCACAGGCTGCACACCGAAGGGGCACACCCCCGGTCATGCTCAGCACTTCAGCTCCAGTAAAAGATGTTCTCAGATCCTAACTGGGGGTCCAGGACTAGTTTTTCTTCTTCACCCACCAGACTGCGCTTGCGGCAGCAAAGTGAGGGGTTCAGATCTTCATGCAAGAGATCCCAGGGAGTCTCGGTTTGCTGCCTTGGAGATAGCTCTCCAAAGGAGAGATTTGCCCTCCTTTATGGACAGGAGAGACCCAGGCTCTTCCAGAGCACATCAGTCAGGCTCCTGAACACCCTCCTAGAGATACCCCGAAACACCAAGAAGCACCTTCTTGTGCCACGGATCCACTATTTCTTACTGTGTATATAGCCCTCATGCAGAGTGCTGGGCCAAATGCGGGATGCTCCCGACCCATCTGTTTACTCTGGCATCTCTCTGCAGCCAGCCAAAATACTTCAAACATGCACAGCCCCCAGCAGGGAGACACGGGGTCACGGACTGTCCCATGGACACAGCCTCCCTAACCCACCCTGTGCAAGCAGAAGTCCAACCTTGGGTGTTGGAAGGAACCTGGACTGAAACGAAGGATGATCTGTGGAGCACCTGTCCTGCCCGAGTGGACACTGCTCTCTCTCAGCAGCAATAGCAGGTTTGTAACGTTAAAGGATTTTACCTTCTTCGGCTTCCAGATCCACCAGTGAAGATACCAACACGCCCATCTCCTGACATTTTTTGCTGTGGGCCTTTGACTTCATATGTTTAGTCAGATTCCCTGAAAAGAAGCAGAAAACATATTTTGGTCAATATGGGTCTTTTGTTCTTTTTTTTTTTCTTTTTTTATAAGCTCATCAGTAAGAAGTTATTAATTTGGCTCTGAGCTGGACAAAGGAGGCCTCTGACTCTTCTACAAACCATGACCCATTGCAAATACCCTGTGACATAAGGCTACATCTTCCCTTTTGCTCCTTCACTGCTGCACTGGGGTGGAAGAAGAGGTGCTGGCAGGGTTGTGCGACCTTCCAGGGGTTGTGCAACCTGAAAAAACAGTAGGGTACACATTTGGGTTTGGGGGAAAGAAAAGTCCTGGAGTGCTTTCAGCTGTGATGATGCAGCAAATTAAAATGGTAGGAAAGTAGGGAAGAGAAACACATTTTAATCCAGCATCACTTCCCACCTCATCCCAGCACACAGGGTCACCTGCCTGGAGGGGAGCAGCTCCTTAGCACCACAGGGCACACTGGTACTACCAAAACAAGAGCTCGAGATGCCAACAACAGGTAAAAACCCTACAATCACCCTCTCCCTGCAGCAGGATGGCTCAGATGCTCTCACATGCACTGAGTGTCAGGCAAAAGCTCCCAGCTCTCTGGAGCAGGAGTCGTCATGGATATCCTCTGAAGCCCGGTGCACCAGGGTCTTGCAGCGCTGAGAAAACCTGCTGAGCACTAATGAGTCTTCCTTGGGGCCAGGATGGAAAGAACAGCCCCTGCAAGGGGGAGTCTGGGATGTGGGGCCATTGGTTACTGTCCTGAGACAGTGTGATGGGATAACTCATGGGCATGCTGGCCTCACAGGGCACTTATCTAATTCTAACTCCCAAATTACAGGCAGGTTAATTAGGCAGTTATTAACCCTACTTACATCCAAGGGAAATGCTGAACAGAAGGGAACCTTTGCTGAGGGGGAAAAGGTAGGTAGGTGGAATGGAGAGAAAAACAGCGGGTAGGAGAAATAAAGAAAAATTGTCACATTTTTCCCTTTCCTCTCCCAAACCTCTTCATGGGCTGAGCTGCTGATGGGAAGAAACCTAGTCCCTTGCTGAAGCTCCACCAAGGGCTGTTTAATTTCCCAGCACAGCCCAGGAGCTGGCTGAGCACTCCAAATTCACTGCGGTAACCCGATGTGCCATCAGCCTTCCTGTTCGCGAACACTTGAGACTAGTGCTGAACACGAGGCTTGTTTTTCTCACCAAAAAAAAAAAAAAGAGGAAAAAATGAATTCTCACACTTTATTATAACCTTCAGCTGAGGACTGAGGCCCCTCAGCTGGTATCCTGCAATCCACAGAGTCCCCCGGTCCCTGAGCTGGTGGGAGTATAGAGGGCCTCTATCAACCTCTCCTCCTGCTGCTCCGGATAGTATAAATAAATAAGCAACCATTCACTGGAGCAGAGAATTACCCGTGACGCCCTCACATCTCAGAAGAGTGTCATAACCATCTAGCTACCAAGTTAGTTTCTCTTTAGACCATGAATTATTTATTTAGCCCATTTTATACAAAATGGAATAGCTCCAGCAGGAAAGACCAAGAGAAACAAAGGCTGACTATATATCCTTGTGTATCTGGCACCCATCTAGGATGTGGATTCAAAGGATATTTAATAATTTAAATGCAGCAAAACAGCTTCAATAAGAGAGATTTATTATTTTTAAACTACATGCCTAAATACTCTTAGCCCCACAGTTAGGACACTCAGGTATGAGGATGAGGCCAGCTTGGCTCTGGTCCTTGTTCCATATCAGACCTCTCTTTCTCCACTTTGGACCAGGAGTTTTGTTGTGGACCCAAAGACACCCCACCAGACAAGAGCATGCTCTCACGGACACCTCTGGTTCCAGTGAATCACCATTGTTTTAAAGTGAAAAACTGCTTCACTGAAAAGCATCTAATGATTCCAAATTGTGGCCTCATGGAAATGGCATTTAATTTTGGACCTAACTAGCAAAAAGACAAACTGACTCAGTCTGCTGAAATCAAAGCCTGCTGCTGCTGCCTGTCCATCACGGCACATCACAGCATGGCTGGCAAAAATGACCCATCTTTGCCCACTTACCACAGCAAAATCCCTGACTGGACTCCCTCCAGTGAAAATAAACACACAGAAAATAAGCCCAAGTAAATGCCTGGTGTGAGTAGGGGGTTGTTGGTTAAACTATGGTCTGCGGCACCTCGGGAATTCAGCTGCGATCCCTATGGTGGGAAGAGTGGGGAGGGGAGGTCTACCAGGCATTTTGGTGCTACCACATCCCCCAAACAAGTTCACGAATCTACCGTGCTACACACATATGGCTTTGGCTAAGCTGGGAGGGTATCACACTAATTACCTGGGGCCGGGAGGAGGCTTGTTGAATGCAATGTTTTGGGAAAGACTGTGGGCAGCCCATACTCAAGGGAAGGACTCTGGTCCTCAGAGGCATACAGTGGCCACCTTGGCCACTTCAGATGTCCAAAGGCTGCTATACACACAAGTCCTCCCTGCTGCCTTAGTTCCAGTGCTGTTGGCAGCAAACACACACTCCCTGCGCCTGCTGCGGGACCTGGGCTGATACGGGGAGCGTGCAGCTCTCTGCATATCACTTCATTGCACCTCTGCTTTGACTGAGCTCCACCCTGAGCAAGGGTTTGGGTTGGCAAGCTCTGCCAGAAACCATCAGTGTCACTTCCTTTTTTATTTTCTTTCATGGGAGGCAACTGTCCTTGTGCAAGACAACGCCGTGTCATCTCATCTTCCTTCCCCACCCAGGCTGCCTGCACAGGCGTGAGCCGGAAGGCAAAGCACAGGCTACGCCAAAGTCCCCTGTGCAAATGAGTTTATGCACAATACTGAAGGACCAATTCACAGGAAATGTTGCTTTCTTTCCCCTTCTATTTTTTTCTACTCTGCTTTCCATCCTCCTTCATTCTCATTTGGTTCGATAAAGTGATACCCACACGCGCTGATGAGCAAGATAAGCCTGCAAAGCTCTTGGTGCAAATCCCCCTGGTGCACATTCTATCCATGTACAGCACCCTGCCTGCACACCAAGAAGAAATTCCAACAAAATAGGAATGCTGCTATCCTTTTAGGGAAGGGAGACTCAGTGGGCCAGATTCTCATCTGACCTAAGTTTGCATCATTTTAAGGAAGTTAAAAGCTTGAGGCTTATTTACACCAGCTGAGAAGCTGAATTATCATCTTGGGAGCAATTTGGAGGACAATGATATTTATCTTATCAGAGTTCTTCTTACAGTTTGTGTTTTTACACCCCTTAATTAATGCTGGCAGGATTAAATGCTAAAGTCCTTTGGCGAATTTCCAGTAAAATCAACACCACTTTGCCTAAGTAAAACCTGGATATGAATTCTACAAGGAAGGACTCACAGCTACTTGTTGCCTTTCAGACTTCTGGCTTAAAAAACCTTAAAATAAAAAAAACCCAAACCCACATTGCGTTGCTTCCTTGGAAACAGTGGAAAAAACATACTTGAAAGAGCAAGAGAGAAACTATCAGGCAGGGAAGCTGGATTTAAATGGCAGAACAGTTATACTGAATCCTAAGCTGGTAAGTAGTCCTCACAAAGGACTGTTTACCAAAAAGTTCCCCGATTTGACATAAATGGGCTATCTTTAAATAAGTTCAGGAATCAGTAGAAATTGTGACCCCACCCCAACTATTGCTGCACTGGAGGAGTACACACTGTGTCAGCACAGCTCCCTCATTCCGCCTGCTTTTGACGATGTATTACCAGCTGCTTAAGCTCTTCTGATGTTGTGAGGTCTTATTCTGGACTTAAAGCAGCTTAAATACTTGTGTTGTTTGGAGAAAGCTAGAACTCTGGTGTTCCAAAAGCACTTAAAACAGCTTAATAGGGACTAGAATTGATTTGCCAGTTAAATTTAAAGAAGGAAATTAATTTTTTAGAATATCCATTATTATATTTTAAAGGTGTCAGAGTTAAAGCAAAAGGTAGGGAACAGAAACATTAAGATTCCTGGAAAAATTAGCCCGTCTGTACTGGGCATACACAACACCTATTTCTCCTATTAAATGTGAACAGTTTCAAAATACACAAACAAAAAAACCCAAAACAAATTACCAACTTTCAGGACTTAACCATTTATCTTTTAAAATAACATGTAAGGAGAGCAACAGCTACGCCCTAACTAGCAGACTCCCTTTTTGCTGTGAGACACACAGAACCAGCCACAGGCCAATACTCTTCATCCCAGACAGACCCTTGAAATGGTTTTATGTGTGACTTACATAATGCACAGGCCTTGATTTAGGGCCCAGCCTGGAGATAATGTCCCCAAGTGAGACTCTGTGCAAAGGAAAGCTTTAGTTTATGTAATTTATTGGGCAAAAGATTTCAATTTTTTTTAATTTTATTATCTTCTATACTTATTGGCTTAAAGATTATAGGAGAGAATTTGAACATCTAGCCTGCCTGCCTGTATTGATACAGGACATAAAATATTAGCTATCTTCTGGATCAAGTCTATCAGCTTGCATTAGCTGAAAACTAATCTTCCATAAAGTTACCCAGGGCTGGATTTGCAGATTTCAAAATACAGAGAATTAGCATATTTCCCATTGAGGCTTCTGCTGAGACTTAATAGCTGCACTGTTTAAAAAAATAACAGCTAATATTTCACTTCAATTTGCCAGTCTTTTACTTCCAGACTTTTTTTTTTTACCTTTCTCCAGTAAGTTGAAGAGCCCTTTTGCTCACAGTGTTTTGTCTCCTTTCTGAGCCACTGGGTCATTTTCTGTTCCCAGTGACACATCCCGTGACATTGCGCACGGGAGCAGGCAGCAAATTCCTGAGGATAACTCTGCCCTCATCCTGTCAAGGTTTGTGACATCCCAAGGAGTCGGGGACCAAAGCCTCCTCCCAGCAGCGGCTCCACAGGGATGCACAGACCCTTTCCCTCTTCCCAGCCACCAAGGAAGGGGCCCAGCTCACACAGGGTGCAGGGCCGTTTTGCAGATCTGTATGTCAATCTGGCCTGCTACAACAGCAGTTAATTCTTGTGGAGCTTTCCGCCAGTTGGACCTGCTCTGTACTTTCCAGAGGGGGCTTAGCAGAGCGCTGAGTCTGCTAGAGCAGTAATAATAAACTGTGCATCCATAACCTTGCCTTTAAGGGCTGAGGGGGTAATGCATTTAATATATTAACATGTTCAATAACCTCAGTGCCTGTCATGTGCTGATTTAAGGAACCGCAAACTAATTTATTAAAGGAAGACTGGCTGAGGACATGAAGAAGTCTGGTGTCTGGAAACTGTGAGTGGACTAGACTATCAAATGGGTATCTTCAGCCAGCAGGCACTGATGTCCTTTACACCAGCACCTTTTAAATTAATATGAAGCTCCTTGTCCCTTCTGACCTCCCAGCAAAGTCACTGACACAGCGAACTGCTCCATATACTTTGTCCAGAAATTTCAAGAAATCTCAAGTAATCAGGACATGAGAGTCTGATGTGAGTCTCAACGAGAGCAGAAAATAGCTGTGGAAAAGGATGATGTCTGCACAGGAGGAGAACTAATGGGCCAACACTGACCCACATCCCCCAGTCAGCCAAGAGTGAAGAAAGGGGCTGTGCTTCCCTCAAGGGTCTGGCGATGGGTGACAGGGGAAGGCTGGCTGTGCCCCCTCTGGGAAGGTGGTCAAGAGGAAAGCTCTCCCTGACCTTCCTGAAAGGGGAAATTGTTAGACTGCACCTTTTTCTTCATTTCCTTCCTGGTAAAAAAACAATTAAAGAGCTGCTTAACTTCTTTTAAACAACCTCTTGGAGGCCACAGTAACAAACCCCTTAGGAGAGCACTACTACAGTGGAGGTAGAGACACCTCATTAAAGAGGCATATTTATATCTCATCCAGCAACATAAAATCAAATAAATCTTTACAAACCAAATTTCCAAGGCTGCTGTTTCCATCAGCTAAGTGAACACACAAAAATCTCACGGATTCGCTTTAAAATAATAAATTAAAAAATTCCCTGCAGTTCTGTAACCCAAAGGAATAGCTTCACTTACAGTGACAGAAATGCACAAAAAGCAGACAAGCAGCATAATTACTGAGAAGGGGAAAATATTTAAAGCTCTTTCTTTTGCAAAAGTTTTCCCAGTTCTTGGAACACAGATACGGATTTTCCGGAGCAGGGGTGGGGAGAGGTACATTTTAACCAGATAAAGATCCTCATTAAAAATAATAATAAAAAAAAGTTTAACTGCTCCCAGCCTACTTGAGAGTTTAGAGCATTAGATCATGCTGGAGAGATCTACCACAGCCAAAATGAAGACAGCTCCACAGATATCCCCCCCGAGTTTACGCTGAAGGCTAAAATTAACTTTGGAAAGCTGATTTTTAAAAGAGCTTTAACTCAGTTTATATCTGTGCAAGTGCAGTCCAGTAGCAAGAGCTCCAGCTTCTCCATTCTGCAGTTAACTGTGGTTTCAAAACTGCACACCAGGAAGGAGGATCCTAATGAATCAGGGCACAAACTTATCCCAGATATCTGCCAAATAAGCTGTGACACATCCAGTTCTGCAAAGCTCATGGACCTCCAGTTCACACTCCATCACCACCAGCACCAATTCTATAACTGGACTTTAACTGATGAATTTATCAGCACACAAGGCTGATCTTTTTCTCACTCTCCAGTAACTCTTCCAAAGGTCTTTGTGTCTCCATCAGCAAGGCAAACAGCTTTTACCCAAATTTATGTGCAGTAGAAGCATGCTCACAGGACACAGCCACCGCTCTGGCTGTCAGCCCCTTCCAGCAAAGAGCCACTTGCATGCAATTCCAAGTTACCATCATGCAACTATTCATCCTCAATCACTGATCTGGGGAAGTTCTGTCCCCTCATGCATCCACAGGCAGACAGATAGTTTGGCATTCAGATCCCAACACTGGGCTTGTGGGTTTTTTTTTTTTTTGAAGGAAGCATTTCCGTGCTACCTTCCTCATGCAAGTTTCCTGCACAGCTAACGGAGTGGAGCCCCTTGGAGCCAAGTCTCTGTTTGCAACGAGCAACCAGCACTGTCAGTGCTGACAGTCTGCGTGCTTCAAGGGAGCAGAGATGAAGAGCAAAGCAGGTAGAGAGATGGTGAAAAGGATGGTTGGATTGCCGCATCCTGAATAAAAGCCTACCAGAAGCATGGTGGAAAGCAAGATGAAGTGAAGGAAGAGGCTAAATTGATTCACCCCTCAAAGGAAAACCTCAGAACAAAGTAACAAAAGCAAGAGAGAAAGAGAAAGGAAATGAATTGGAAATAGCTCCAGACTGGGAGGGAGAGAAAGAACCATCGCTTGGATCTGCTGCATGTGTCTGACAAGAATTTGGCCTCAAAATTGGTATCACTTCCCCACGCTCCCATACGCTTACTGATTACCAACATGCTGTTACCCAGAAATCACCCACGAGCTTCACCAACAAAGCCATCGGCCGCAGGCACTGCCCACCCTGACTCATGCGGCGTCGGGGTCGCTGGTCTAGCACAGACAGGCCCTTCATCGGCACTTGTGGGGAAGCAGCACCGAGTGCCTCCCCCACGCCCGTGCTGTGTTGCCTCCTTGGGTAGCACTGTTTTTTTCAGGTTGATGAACTTCTTGAGTAACTAACCGCCCCACATGCATCATCTTCTGAGATGTGCAATGATGGAGCGACAGGCAACAGGTATTTTATATTTATGTCAAACTATTATCAAGAAACTGAACAGGAAATCTTTATTGCAAGACTTGCTGGAACCAAAAGATGCAGGGGAGATTTGTCAAACCCACGGTGCCAGACTCTTACGAGAAGTTAAATGGACCTGGGCATCTCTGGCACTTCTGGAAACTTTACCCACAGTCTCTTGGAAGAGACTTTTTCTTGCATGGGGATTTCCATGCTCCTGATGTTCAGTCACACACTCACTGAGGCAACGATGAAGAAAAGAATTGGAAAGAGTATCTGGTGGTAGTGAGGTTGTGGATCATTAATGACTAGATGTCCTGGCATGGAGGTCTTTAGAGAAAAAGCCTATTGATATGATATGATATAGAAAATGTCGAAGCTACATGCAACTGCGAGGATGAAAATGTGCAGCGCAAACAGATCTTGAGAGCGCTAGCATAAAAAGCCACCCAAAGACTGTCTCCAAGTGCTCAGTCAGGAACGTTTGCCTGTACCCAGGAGCTCCTGCCCTCGTTCTGAAGTGGTTTTCTTTATAAAACCCTGCCAGTGGAGCTGTATTTCAGGATCATTCCCTTTAAGAAGCTCAAACAGGATGGCGCAGATGCCCTGCTGCAGGCTGGCACGTGCAGCCAGTGCTCTCCACTGTGACATGCATCAGCTTAACACAAGACTGGTCCTCTTCTGAAAATTTCAGCCGATTTAAGACTCCGTCATCCCCCTCCCTCCAACTCCTGGGGTTTTACAAACCCTGGGAAGGTTTTCCCTTCCCCTTTGCCAGCACCCCCATGAAGGTTTGTAAGTCAATACACTAAGAAGAGGAGCTAGGAGCTGACTGTCTCTTACCTTTGGTTTTAAAAGCAAAGTTACAGTACTTGCAGACATATGGCCTGACGTCTGTGTGCGTGCGAATGTGTTTCTTCAGCATGCTGGGTTTCTTGCAGCGAATTCCACACTCCTCACATACATACTTCCCTCTTCCACGGCCTCGCACATACACATACTCTTCGTTTGATTTGTACCTATGAGCAACAGGTGTCGTGATAAAAAAAAAAAAGAAGATTCCCACCTCAAAAGTAGTCACAACTTTCCTGGATTAATGCAGCATGTTATTGACACCACCAGCCTCATTTACCATTTACTAGCTCTGGGTAATTAAGCTAAATTCAAAATATCTTCAAAAGCTTTTGCCCAGATGCCTACTTCCTCTTCTGGAATATGTTCTTATGTCCTACATCTGCTTCCCTGTACAAACAGCCAGAAGTCTGAGATCAGTCACCGTCTCACCCTAATGTCCTGACCTTCCCCATCCTCAAACACAAAATGAGGCTCTCATAGCAGACTGAATAAGATATGCCACAGTCCTGCCTGGCTGCCTGAAACATCTCTCTCTCGCAACTTATGCTGTGTATTAAAATACATTGTCACTGCACTATGCAAAGTACTGAGAAAATACATCCTAGCTAAACCTCTTGTGATACCTTTCCCACCCATTGCGACCACAGTACAAGCCATCTGAGAAGACTGTGATGCCACGTTGCAAGCTGCGGTCCCTGCACAGACTCCTGTTAGAATGAGACACCCAGAATGGGCACAAAGAGAAGAAAACATCAATTTTTTAAATATATTGTGCTAACACTAAATGTAAACACCACAGACTTCAGGCTCTTTTATCTTTGGCACAATACTTAGATTTACCCAAGAGAATGAGATTGGTCATCCTTCCTTCACATTGCATATTCATTTATTTTCTGTACACACTTAGTGCATGGGGAAGGCTTCATGATGTGGGTTTGAAAAGTATTTGTGAGACTGAGAAAAATCATTTAGCCTCCTGCCGTTTAGCAAATGGAGTCTGTAATTTCCTGTACTTGCAGCACATCGCAGCACAAGAAGAATAAGGTAACATGAAATTGGTCCCCTCAGATTTTTAAGAGCCCAAATGTCTGAAGCGTGGTACTTGTTGCAACTCATTTTTCTATCCAGTATGAATTATTATTCTTGAAAAACCTCCAAACATCCACCTTTGAAAATCAGGCCTTCTAAAATACCTTAATAGGGGATCTGAAGACACAAAACATCATCAGTCACCTTTTAGTATCTTCCCAATAAAGCCTATGGCAAACCAGAATCGAGAAAACAGCAGCCAGACTGAAGAGAAACTGAATCGAAGCAGCAGCAATAGGAATAGGTGGAACACTTATGTAAGTGTAGGTACAGTGCATCCTAAAGAAACTATGTATTTATAATGAAAAAAAAAGGCGCTAATACAAAGCTGAGTAAAATGCATGTTCATGAATCCAGTCCTGAACTGACAGTATGATAATGGCATGGTCTGCCATTATCAAGAAAACACATCCAGTTACCCACAAGTGTGGACTTAAGAGCAGGTAAGTCACACTGTGTGAACCCACCCAGGCAGAATGCACTGGCCTTGGCTCCATTTTTTTTCGTTCATTTACAGAGTATATAGGTAATTACAGTTCCACGTGGGTGTTTGGGCAACCTAATACACATGAAATTCAGAATAAACATCTTGGGTGCCACCTGGTATAGGTGTGAGTTCTGGACTAAACCCTTCCTCCCCTGCCAAGTCCTGCTCTCTCTGCCTCAAGGTCTTACCTGTAAGAGGCAGGCTGAGCCATTTCTTTGCTCCATAGGAGAGATGTGAGCAGATGCTTAAAAGATGATTGAGTTGCTCATGCATTAAGGTGATGAGGTCACAGATGTCCTATGCAGGTTCAGATACAGACTAGAGGAGAGGAAAAACGGGTGTCTAGATAGCCCCAACTTAGCCTGGAGCACCAGTAGCTGCATCAGCATAACCAGGTCTTGGTGTCTAACAGCTATATGTGGGCGAAGAGCTTGTATTTCTGGCCTTCAGTGTCAGCAGCAAACCTCCAGATAATGACCAGGGAGTATCTGGTAGCTCAGATGCTCTATCTCCTGTAACTGAAGCCACAGTAATGCCATCTACCCTGTGCCTTCCCCCAGCAAAAGAAAAACCCCCAAACCAACACCCAAACCCTTCATCACAAAGTTCTCATTATTTGGCCAGAGAGGACTGAGCTGGTGTCTGGAGAGACACTGACTGCCAAGCTCCATCCCAGGAAGTCCAGCTATCTTCAGCTGACTGTACAGATACTGGGACACATGTAACTAATTGTCAGGGATGGCCAACGTCCCTTCTTCATTCAGCCAGTGACAACGCTAAAGCAGCACAAGGAGCAAAAAGAACCCAGGAAATCTGATTCCTCTTCTTCTGTTCAAATTTCTATTTGAGGCTTCCTTCTCATGCTCCTTTCTTTCTGTCATTGTGCTGGTAATCACCTTGCCATTTAAAAAATGAAATTGCTCCTTTATCAGCCTTGTACTTGCACTACCCTTAATTAAACTCTCACATGGAAATCTCTAAGCATGTTCTTTGTGTCCAACAGTCCCTTCGTCAGCCTCATTAAAGATCGGGGCTGGCTTTTCCTGGATAAAAAGGGACACGTGATTTAATCTGAAATTAGGAATTACCATTCATCTGACACACTGTGAGACTGAGCAATCCTTCAACACTGCTATTTTCTACAGCTCCCTGAGACACTGTATAAAACACCCAGGGAGAGGAGAGAAACAGAAAAAGAAAGGTAACCTAAAGAAATACCAAACCAAGCAAGAAGAAAGCAAGGGAGGTGATACTGCCCTAACACAGAGAAGGCTGCTGCAAATGCCAACTGTCTGCACTGAAGGCTATAATATGTTTATGGAGATAATTACTTCAATATGACACTGGCTCCTCTGTGGATCTAACCTCGCATGATTTGCATCACAAAGACAAATCAATGACAGCTCGTTTCATGTGAAGATTTACCCTAGACAAAGGATCTTCCTTCTCTGTAACGTTTGTTGTAACCAGATCCTTCTAATATCCACAGCTGAACTTTGTGTCAGCAAATCCAGAGCACTGTGGAATTCATAGTCCTGTAGTTAGCAACCTACACCTCCAACACTGTCCTAGCTCCCATCTAATACCAAGACAATTTGAATCCCATGAGGCTAACTGGCCATTGCGAGCTCAGAGATTGATGTAGGAAATAGCTCTTTCAACAGATACACAAAAAGATAAAAATTCCGTTATCTGATGCGTTGTTTGAAAGGTTATTTGCTGTGTTCTGCTAGAAAATGCACATCTGTTGAGTCTTATGCAACCACTACAAACACTTTCCAGAGCAAGAGGAACTGGCACAGCCATGGCAGCGCCGGTGCTACCATAGGCAGTACCAGGTTCAGAGACTTGATGGCCCCAAAACAAGCCATCACTGTCAGGAGTCACAAGAAACAGAACAATGGGAAAACATGAACCTGCAGAAAGTTTCCCTTAAACTTAGTTGAAACCTAAAACCATGAAGCATTTACTCCTTTGCAGGCTTTAGGAGGCTTAGTTCTTAGTATTTGTTGTTACAAATATCAGCCTATCCCTTTTAGCCCCAGACACATCTTTTTTTTTTTCCTCCGTGCTGTGAACCACATCCAAAACCATGTGGCTGAAAACCACACGATAAAACCTTGGAGAGCAGAGCGGGAAGGAAGTTTGGTGGTTCATAGGCAGGAAGGGAGAGCAGCTTTCTGGGGGACTCATTGCTTCACTGTGAGATACAGTTGGGATGAATCACCCTTTCTCTCCCGCTTTCTACCGCTGCCAGGCACTTACCTTGCCCTACAAAGCCTTTGCCGATGTGACCTTGCTGGTCGCAGCCTCAGCACATCAGCTGCATTCACATTATTTGCAAGTCACATGTAGGCAGCCTGATTTTGTGAATTTCCAGAATTTGAAGCTCGATAACGTCTTATGGTAAAGAACACCCCTAGTTAGTTTTACAGCAACTAAACAACTAATTCCTCAGCTGGTTTTGACATTTGTTTAACTCACTTGTTTGCTTTTTGGATTTCTGGCACACAGTAACAGGAATCAGATACCTGATCCCTTCCCTGAGCCACTGCATTTAGTTCACAGTTAAGTGAACCAAGTAGCTCCAGTTGTTGCCTTCGGTGTAAGTCTTCTGGTTTTATCGATGGCACATTTTATCTGTCATCAGGCTACCCCTTCATCTGGCTTGGCTAAATGCTGCAGAAGTTCCTGACAGTCTGTCCTGGTGTTAACTAATCTAATTTATGTTTTATGCCACCTGAAAAATTTGCCAGATAGCTGATAAATGCGTAACTGTTATGTTCACTAATTCCCAGGAAGTTTATGGCTCTTCTCACAACTCCCTACTAGATGATTAGACCACTTCTTCCACAGTGACACCTCCAATGCCCATGCTGAAACTGCAGGAGCAGCTTGAGTCCTTAGCCTTACCCACTGCAGACCCTAAGACAACACAGGGTGGGACACCCCACAAGACTGCAGCCTATGTTAAGGATCACCACACAGAGTGTGTCCTTAAGGCCAGACAGTTACTGTGAAATCTCCCTTAATTCAAGCCAAGCTACAGCAGAACAAACAGGATTTCTTTGCAAAATCCAGACCAGACAATGTCATTTCCAGGTTTCCAAAAGCATCATAAAACCTTCTAGTATCCCAATTTACCAGACAGGGATATTGCACCAAGACAAACAATGAACTCCTGAAGAATATACAGCAAGACAGAGAAAGAACTGGCTATGGATATGCAAGGACCTGGCACAGAAATCCCCTCTTCCCTGTCTGAAGTAATGGATATTTTGCAAACAGCACCTGCCAATCTCCAGTGAAATTGCACAAAACTTAGTCTGAGCACCCAGACCGGGCGTATATAAAGAAGCCTGGTATGAAGGTGTTACTGTGAACATCATCTTGCCCTTCAATTTGGTATCAGCAGCTCAAGTATGATTTAACACTGGAAAAATTAGGCTATCCAAGATGACCACTTCACTGGCAGCAAACCTAGGGCTCCTTCTGCTTGGTAGAAGATTGGGGCATGGACTCTATTCTGCCAGAGGTATAACACAGTGCCTGATGCAATGGGACCCTCATTTTGACTGGACTCTAATT